GAAGCACACCTCCTCTCAAGCACTTGTTTCGAGGAAGCACACCTCCTCTCAAGCACTTGTTTCGAGGAAGCACACCTCCTCTCAAGCACTTGTTTCTGCCGCTCCGTTTCCTTGGATGGGCGCGTTCCCTGAGTGCAAACAGCAGGTCTGGGACCTGGAGAAGTCTCCAGCCAGAGTTTTGCATGCATTGCCACACCTGAGTGGCCTTTCTTTAGACAGGCTTAGTCCCCTCCTGGGCCACTTCCCTTTTTCAGCCTCTGGAGTTGCCATGTACCTGCCTGTAAAACTACAGGCCTGAAGTCCGCCTCTTGGGGGACAGATCAGCAATGCACAAGGCAGCCTGTCGTTGCCCTGCCCTTCCTCTCTAACTTCACTTGAGTCTAGCAGAAAAACCAAAAACGAAGGTGACTGCCGCTGAGTTAGTACAGACTCCTAGCAACGCTGGAGGACAGGGTAGAACTTCCCCTGTGAGTTTCCAAGACTGCTTATGGGAGTAGGGAGCCCCGCCTCTCAGTCAACTCTTCATTTGCAGCCATGGCATAAAAGCTTCAAGCATAGAAGGACTGCATGTGGAACTCATCGCCTTGGCTCTGCCATTTCAGGCATAAGCTGGCGGCACCATCACAGAGCCCTCTGACTCTGTAAGTAGCAGATGGCTGCCTGCAAGGGAGAAGAGTGAGCATCGAACTGCACTCACTGAGCCCTGCTCTCAGGCTGCTCTCGTGCCCATGGCTATGTGTGCATTCCAAAGCTCCCATCTTCGTAAGCAATGGACGTGCCACCGGTCCATCCTATATGAGGAGACATTGGGGAGATTTCTTCAGTTATGCTTTCTGAATAATGGTCGTTACTAAACCAGTGACCATTGGTCAATGGTCTAGTTGGTCTAGCATCTGAATAATGCTAATAGCACCTTGAATGGAACCTTCCGACAAAGGTGTGATCGATTCAGGCTGCACTGAGCTATCCAGCCCCATGGCTGAGACAGAATGTAAATGTTTTTGTTTCTGCTCCTCAGCACCATGTGACAAGAATGCAGCCAGCAGGTAGTAGAATGTGACCCCCTTACCTGCCTGAGGAGCCATGAGCCTTGCACCTTTTCCTGGGGACCTTGTGGTACACTCTATCTTCCTGGGAGACACGTGTCTAATATCACATGGAATGCCTGACAAGAACAATAAATCAATAAACACACATACACACGAGTAAGGCTTCAGAGTTCACAGAAAATTACCATCATATTTTATTTTGCCTTATGGTATTCTGTTATGTTATGTTATTTTACTTTGTAAGTGTTGCTTTAATTAGTTTTTTCTCCATTTTTTGGTAAACTACAAATCCTTTTTCTTTGGTACAATTTTTTTAAGCCTCCATGAATCACTGAGACTTTTCTGTGCTTTCAAATAAATCCATATTGATTTCCTTTTTCAAAAGTCTTGATTTCTTAGAAATAAAACAAAACCAGCCATAGGAAGTTAGTACCTAGAACCCTGAAAAAACAATAACTACCCAAACAAATAAACTGGTCTGGTTACTTTCATAGACTTTGGGGCCAGGGCGTGGCACCCTATCAGACTCAACCAGAAAACACTCCTAAGAGTCAATGAACAGACCTTGAACTATTTATAGGCTTTTCTCTTTTTTTGTCATTGTTTTTTGTTGTTGTTTTCTTTTGTTGCTTTCTTTTGCTTTGTCCTGTTTTGTGCATATTATTATCTCTGCAGCTCTATCTAGATAAGATAAGCTGGATAAACAATCTGGAGGAGAAAACAATAGGACCGATAGTTGGGGGAAGGGGGGAGCGGGGACATGGGAAGGGGGAAGTGGGGGAAAGGAAGTGATGTTAACAAACCCAGGAACCCTTGATAATTTAGAAATTATTATTATTTTGTCATGTTTTACACTGTCTAACATCTCCGTTCACCCACTTTTCTGTTGTACAACCCCCAGGGAGGAAGTTATATGTAGATCCTTGTTATAGGTTTCCCATTTCCACCCCACCTTCCCTCCGCCCTCCCGGTATCGCCACTCTCACCACTGGTCCTGAAGGGATCATCTGCCCTGGATTTCCAGTTCCTATCTGTACCAGTCTACATCCTCTGGTCTAGCCAGATTTGTAAGGTAGAATTGGGATCATAATAGCAGGGTGGGGGTAGCATTTAGGAACTAGAGGAAAGTTATATGTTTCATCGTTGCTACATCACACCCTGACTGGCTCATCTCCTCCCTGAGACCCTTCTGTAAGGGGATGTCCAGTTGCCTACAGATGGGCTTGGGGTCCCCAATCTGCACTCCACCTCATTCACAATGATCTTATTTTTTGTTCTTTGATGCCTGATCCCTGATCCCTTCGACACCTTGTGATTGCACAGGCTGGTGTGCTTCTTCCATGTGGGCTTTGTTGCTTCTGAGCTAGATGGCCGCTTGTTTACCTTCAAGTCCTTACAGCCCCAGATGCTATATCTTTTGATAGCCGGGCACCCTCAGCTTTCTTCATCACTTTTGCTTATGCACCCATTTGTCTTCAGCAATTGTATCGGGAAGGTGAGCACACAATGATATGATTTTTTGTTCTTTGATGCCTGATAACTGATCCCTCTAGCACCTCATTATCACATAGGCTGGTGGGCTTTGTTGCTTCTGCACTAGATGGCCACTTGAATATCTTCAAGTCTTTAATAACCTCAACACTATATCTTTTGAAAGCCAGACTCCATCAACTTTCTTCACCAAATTTGCTTATGCAATTGATAAATGGATAATTTATAAATTATCAAGGGTTCATGAGGGAGGGGGGAGCAGGGAGGGAAGAGGAAAAAATGAGGAGCTGATACCAAGGGCTCAAGCAGAAAGAAAATGTTTTGAGAATGATGATGGCAACATATGTACAAATGTGCTTGACACAATGGATATATGTATGGATTGTGATAAGAGTTGTACGAGCCCCCAGTAAAATGATTTAAAATGAAACCCTCCATTAATCACTGACTTTCTGTGATTTCAAATCAATCCATATTGATTTCCTTTTTCAAAAGTCTTGATTCTTAGAATTAAACAAAACCAGTCTTAGGAAGTTAATACCTAGAACCCTGATAAAAACAATAATCACTCTAACAAATAAACTGGTCTGGTTTACTTTCCATTGACTTTGCAGCTAATCACAGTCAGGTTTTTCTCTCCATTTTATATCCTGGGGCTCTTGCTTCCTCCTTTGAAATGAGGGTCCTTGAAGACAGCCCCTTTTCACCATTTAAAAATGCAATCATTTTGTTTAAATATAAGGATGAATGTCTTCCTAATTTCTCACCAGTATTTTCACTTTCCCAGATAGCTTAATCTAGTATAAAGGAGAGAGTGAGGTTCTTAAAGCCATGGAATCAATCACTAACTCCACTGAAGGAAGATACATCTATGAGATTTGCTTCTTTCTCCTTAGGGTCTTCACATATGCTGAAGAGTCGCTCTTGGTTAAAAAAATTTAAAAAAAGTTGGTCATGATCCCTTCAAAGCTTGAAATTGTGTATAAAGCTTTTAATTCCATTTTTCCCACAAACATTTTGAAGCCTCCTGGTACGAGGGATGACAGAACCAGACAGGAGGAGGCAGGGTCCTATTCTACCGCCAAGGGTTAGATGGAGAGAGAGCACTGCAGTGGTTGTTGGGCCAGCTGAAGGCGGCTGGGAGAGGCAGGGTGCTGAGCAGGAGCCCATAGACTGGCTGAGAGGAATCCAGCAGAAAGGATGGCAGGGAGAAGGTGCTGGACGTGGCCAGCTGCCATCCAGTCACTGGTCTCTGGCAGGCCAGGGGAACTGGGCTCGGACAGGGGGAGGAGGAGCGCTTTAGCCTTTGGGGACACCAGCTAAGGGAGCAGCCCAGTAGGCAGATGAAAGGTTCTCAACAGATCCCACAAAAATATTTGCCAGGAGATATTTCAGAAGAATCCAGAGCGATAAGAGCTCTCGACACACAGAATCCAGGACAGATAAATCCCTCAGGAACAATAATGGGAGTATCGATACCATGAGGGTAGGGGGTAGGTGGCGAGAGAAATGGGAGAAAGGGGGAACCAATTGCAATGACTGATGTATAGCTGCACCACCACCACCCCCCCACAAGTGAGATCAACAACAGAAACTTGGAGTAAGGCAGACAGCAGATGGTGTAAGGCATGAAAGGAATAATAATTTATCATTTACCAGGGGGTCACAGAGGGTGGGAGGAGAGGAGCTGATACCAAGGGCTCAAGTACAAAGAAAATGTTTTGAAAATGATGATGGCAACATCTATGCAAATGTGCTTGATACAATGGCTGTATGGATTGTTGTAAGAGCCCCCAATAAAATGATCACGTGTTTTAAAAAAGAAAACAACTCTGGAGCCATGGCAGCCACTCTGGGGGGCCCAAACAGCATGCTCAGACGTCAAGCAAGAGATTGGAGGTTGGAGCTCACTCAGAGGAGCCTTGAAAGAAAGGCCTGGAGGTCCACTTTCAGACAATCAGGAATTGAAAACTCCCGAGCGCAGGCCTACCATGGGGCCCATGGGATCGCCATGATCTCTAGAACCAACGTGACAGCAAACGACTCCTGATTGGAGCAAAGAGAGCGAAGGGCGGGCCTCCTTTCCACCGAAAGCAAAACCATTAGAGTGAGGCAGCTCACTTCTCTGTGAGGAAGGAGGAAGTCACCCAGCTTGTCCCACCCAGATGGAGACACCTTAAAGAAAGAGCTGCCCATGGCCTGTGAGCATGTCTGCGGGAAGCGAAGACTGACGTACAGAGCTGCAGGACTTCTATCTACCCATTCCCAGCCAAGTAGATGTGAAGCGGGATGAGACTGAGGGGGCCAAGGGGGCTTCTCCCCCGCACAGAGTCCCCTAGCTACGGGAGGTGCATAATCGCCGACAGCATTGAAAACTATCAACTAGTTTCAGTCATTTCAACTTACTTACCTGCAAGGGTCACCTGGGCAGGGTTGTCAAAGAAGTCGCCAGTGATTGTGATGTCTGTTCTCCCCCCGAGGCTCCCAGTTTCTGGAAACACAGAGAGAATTTCTGCAAGAGAAATAAAAAGTAAGCCTGTGAATACCGATCAGGATGTGACCCAAATAATGATATAATAATAGAAGCCATCAATAATTCATTTCTGGCTTTAACTTTCTAAGACCAGCAACAGTTAGGATGATTAGCTCCTAGTAAGAGTTATGAAGATCCCTGAGAGCAATCAGCAACTAACTTAATGGTTGGCAATGCGAACCCGCCCAACAGCAGCATGGCTGTCAGCTTCAGTAAGGATTTACAGAATCCTTACTGGGTTATAGACAAGAAACCCCTATGACTAAGTTTTCTTCTGTAACAGTCAGCTCGCCATTAATCAGTTGGGCTTTTGTTTAGTCGTTTAACAAGGCACATACTGTGAAATGTCTAGCTGAACCCAAACACACCCACTGCCATCCAGTAGAGTCTGAATCAGAAAGACTCTCAAAGGGTTTCTGAGACTGTCAATCTTTACGAGGGAAGACAGTCTCATCTCTCTCCCCATGCTGGTGAGTATGAAATGCTAACTGTGGGGTTAGCAGTCTAGGGATTGTTGTTCCAATAGGTTAAAAATGACTACATACATATTAAATACAAAGGTTTGATTGTTTTGATTGTTTTTAGGAATGCAGACTTTCCTGGTGTTACAAAAGCCCCGCAGCCCTATACCATGGTGCTTTCATAGGAAATCTGTTTTCCCAATCCAAGGACCTACTTGTAGGTCAGAGAAGAGTAGATGACCCCACATAAAGGAATTAACCTTGCTGTACCAGACAAGACCTGATCTACCCACGTGAGTCTGCAGTTTGCTGGCTCTAAGCAAGCAAACAAATGACATCATCATCAGTGTCCTCCCTGCGTGCACTTCCTACTCATAAGCAGTTCTTTCATGCTGCCTCTTGATTCATTCATTCTATATCCATAAACTGTTTTTCAGCTTGTTTCAATATAGTGACTATTATGGATTGGGTTGTGCCAATCTGTATGTAAACACGAACCCTTACATCTGGGAATACAATTCCACTTGGAAATAGGGTTTTTCTTTGTTATGTTGATTATATCAGACTCAAGTTGTGTCAATTCAAGCCTACTCGTTTCTGTGTTGTACATCTACACATATATTTTTAAAGCAGGTTATAGACACACACAGAGGAAATCAAACACCACATAAGCCACATGCCATCTGCAAGCCGAAGAACCCAGGGACGACTGCACCGAGGACACCAAGGGAAGAATGGGCAAGGCCCAGGCCCTGATTTGATCTGTGAGCTTCTAGAACTGTGAGGACACATTTATTGTCTATTCTCTAGAGGCATCCACTTGTGGTATCTGTGTTACAGCAGCAACAGGAAACCAAGAGAGTAACTAGAGCAGATATTCATAAATCAATGTATTTTCTTTTTCTTCTTTAATCATTTTATTGGGACTCATACAACTCTTATCACAATCCATACATACCTCCATTGTGTCAAGCACATTTGTGCATTTGTTGCCATCATCATTTTCAAGACATTTTCTTTCTACCTGAGCCCTTGATATCAGCTTCTCATTTTCCCCCTCCATCTCTCACTCTCCCTTTATGAACCCTTGATAATTTATAAATTATTACTATTTTTTCACATCTCCCTTCACTCACTCTTCTGTTGTCTGTCCCCCTGGGAGGGGGTTATATGTAGATCATTGTGATCAGTTCCTTCTTTCTACCCCCACCTTACCCTTACCCTCCTAGTATCACTACTCTCATTATTGGTCCTGAAGGGCTTATCTGTCCTAGATTCCCTGTGTGTCCATCTCTTATCTGTACCACTGTACATACTCTGGTCTACCTGGATTTGTAAGGTAGAATTGGGATCATGATAGTGCAGGGGGGTGAGGGAAGAGCATTAAAGAACTAGAGGAAAGTTGTATGTTCCATTGGTGCTATACTGCATCTTGACTGGCTCATCTCTTCCTTATCACCCTTCTTTAAGGGGATGTCTACAGATGGGCTTTGGGCCTCCAATCTGCACTCCCCATCATTCACATTGATATGATATTCTGTTCTGGGTCTTTGATGCCTGATGCCTGATCCCATCAACACCTCATGATCACACAGGCTGGTATGTTTCTTCCATGTGGACTTTGTTGCTTCTCAGCTAGATGGCCGCTTGTTTGTCTTCAAGCCTTTAAGACCCTAGACACTATATCTTTTGAAAACTAAGCACCATCAGCTTTCTTCACCACATTTGCTTAT